AAAAGAAAAATATCGAAACTTATGACAGTTAGAGGTGACCGAGCTACAATCTTTTAAGTATTCTTCATTTTGTTGGCCCATGCTTGTACTGATGTTCACCTATCTGAGTACAATATTTATATACATATACAGTAGAACGAATTACACCCTATTATTACTAACTTTCTTTCCATTGATGCCTCCACATTACCGCGTCATTGATTTGTTTACAAAATTAAAGCTCATTATCAACAAACGAAAAAAATGAATTATATGACTATTTATTTAATTAAAGAGCGATTATAAAATATTTTATTTTATATTTTTTAATGTTGACTAGGGTGACGTTAGAATAGTTATTTTGTTTTTATGCGTATTTGTAAATAACATGACTTCCTCTTCAAACACAATGTCTTTTATACTAGCACAAAAAGGAAAGCCAATGCTTGTCATTGACAATTACGTATTTAAGTTGAATAAAACGATCAATATAACAAAATACTGGAGATATGAATATTGTGAATGTGATGTCACGGTACATACAGATATAAATGATGTCATTTTCAAAACTAAAGGGGATCATTGTCATATAATTCAACAAGAAAAAGATGATTGACTATTTTCATGTGTTGCTTGGACATTTCGTTGATTTATTTATACTGTCAACTACACAATGAGTGATCCTGTTCTAGTATTTCTATATTCAATGAACTTTTTAAATATTGGTCAAGATACTCATGTTAATAATCTTTATTCTCTAAACGTTTCTCTTTCGACATTTTTCTTTTCGAGATTATTTTTTTCGTTTTTTTCTCTTGTCCCTATTTTTCCTTTCGACATTTTCCCCTTCTGCCTTTTCCCACCATACCACTGTGACCACTTCCGTAATCAATTATCTTAAGAAATTCCAGCTATTATAATAAAAAAAATTGGATATTACATTTAACGAATCAGCATTTTGCCTATTACCTAACTGGTTAATCATTCGAACAAAAATTTCTACTTGTTGTCTGTTTTTTGACTCACAAAAAGTTTAATCTGTATGTTTGCATGATTTTGGTTCATTTTTGTGGTTTTCTTGTAAAATCTGTTCCTCAAACTTTTCTTTCTCATTCAATTAGTATTCAATAAGCTTTTCTAATAAATTCTTTTCTAGTAAAAATTCTCTGTAACGTTGTTCAAATAAATTGTAAAGATCAATTCTTTTTTCTTGACGAACTCATTCAAATACATAAGTATTTCAATGATCACAAGTTAAACAATAAGCATTATGGATACTTAATAATGATAAATAAGATTGAAGAAAATCACAAATACTAATAAAAGTTTCTTCGATCATTTAGCTCTTTTATCTAGCATATACAAGTTGATGAACTTGAGTCATTATCGAATTTAATTACAACTAAGATAATAAATATATTTAACATATTCGTTTAATTTTGTTCAAGAAGGAAAAAGCATACTTCTCTAGTTGTGAAGTACGAAGAAGTACAGAAGTATGCTTTTCCTCCTCGATTTCGTTACTCAACTAAATTATAAAAAGTTTCCAGTAATTTTCTTTTATGTTTAAAAATATCAGTATTTATCATCCTTCAATTAATCTTTCCTGTTTTTGATTATATTTCATTTTCGTCAATATTCTTTCTCTATGTATCAAGTTGTTATAATGCTGATACTAATCTTTCTTGTTGAAAATTTCAAAGAAAAAATCTATGTTTTAGTACTTGAATTTAATAAACGATCAGATCTAACACGGATAAATAAAAATAGTATAAAACAAAACAAAATATAGTAAAAGAATGCTAGATTACAGAATAATTCCTAATTTTTCAATTTTAACAACGAGTGAACCTATAAAATGATGTAGCTACACTAACGACCAATTCTAATTTACCAAGTTGAATATGACTCTATGATGCGAGTATACACTATGGGATTCCAACTAGAAAAGAAAAGATCATTTATTTTTCTATGTAAAGAAAAGCATATTAACTGATATTTTTTATTAACTTATCAAGCATTAAAATTGAACCAATAAGGCGGCAATAATTATCGTTTTTTTTTCTGCTGATAAGCTAATGTACTTGAAACAATACTTATCATTAATGTTATATTACCTAAATATGTTGCCCACTTATGCGATTAAATTAATTGTGGCATGGCATGTTCACCAGATATATATGCATACAAGCATCATGACTAACACATATTTCATGTAGACTGCCATCAACATTGTGGAGAATGTAGTTGTGGGGTGTGGGGTGAGGTGTGGATGACTGAAGAAAAAATCCACAATCACCCACACCCTTAAATTTCAAATTTGACACATAAAGAAGGTGCCAGGGTCAAAATACTGAAAAATGTTATAGCGCTAGCCACAAATTTGTTTGAAATTTTCAAGTATTTTGACGCTGACACCATCATTTATTCACCAAGTGAATTTTCTTACCGAAATGATCAACGCAGATAACTCCACAAAGTCAGATAGATGAAAGTATTTTCTGTCGACGAAACATTCCCAAGTGATACGCTCCGTTTGTCTTCACATTATGCCTATAGATAGTGTTCATAGTGTACATAAATATCCTATAAGGGTTCGTGCCATTAGGCCTTCCTTCTCAAGTTATGACCATTTTACTGAATTTTCAGCCGATCACAGGGGATTATGAAAAACACCTCAACAAGGAATTTTTTCTTGAAAATTTTCGCAATAATAGATCTCATGACCTTTATTATATCTTGAAAGTTTCAGCTCAAACAAATGGTTCTCTTTCGAGATAATGCGTTTTAAAAAAAACACTACTTTTTCACATTTTTGAAATACTCCATGTCTTAAGAAAAACTTAGTCGTTTGAGCTGAAACTTTCAGGATACCATAAGGACTATGAGATCTATTATTGCGGAAATTTTCAAGGAGAAATTTCTTGTTGAGGTTTTTTTCATAATACCCTGTGATAAGCTGAAAATTCAGTAAAATGGTCATAACTCGAGAAGGAAGACCTAATGGCACGAACCCTTTTAGGGTTTTATCTACACTATGAACCCTATCTATAGGCATAATATGAAGCCAAAAGAAGCATATCACTTTGCAATGTTCTATCGTGAGAACCTGTTTTTTTTATAAATGACTACCCATTGTACGCTCTAATACTATCCGCCGGTGGTTCCCATCATCTCGAATGTATTATGCAGCTTGAAAAGTCGATATTTTGCGATTTAATATGTGTTATGATTCTTAGTTTGTATGAATCATACAGAATTATGCAGCGAGTTGGAACGACCACGGAACGAAGAAAAAGATTATTCTTTCCAGGACTCGAACCACGTACCTTCTGCTATCCGGGCAGATGTCATAAGTCAGTTAGACTAGAAATCTTCGTCTTATGTACAGAGGAGAACACTCTGTACATAACAATGTGATAAAGCTGGTTTTTTTCCATATTTTTAGGCTTTCTACTTCAAATTTCTACATTTAATGATCAAAAATGTTACCTCACTTACTATTTTCCGCCAACAAATTCATTTTATATTTTATTATTTTTGCCAGTTTGACTTCGAAAGTGAATCGACCGGATTCTGGCCGGACCGCACCGAATACAAAAATTCTGTCTAGTTTCACATCTGGTTGATCGCGTTCGATAATAGCCAGTAGAGGTCATTCGAAAATCAGCAATATTCAAATCAAGCACCGATGTGGATTGACGATCGGTCGGCAATACTGACAATGATCGAACGGCGATCGACAAAATTATAACAAGAAAAGAGAAAAATAACGAACATTTCTTATGGATGATGACCGGATGTCGAACGTCGAAACGATCTATGCAATGAAAACGTGTCGGCATGAATCACGTACTCAAATACAAAATCAAAGCTTGAACAAGATCATTAATGTAGGACAATTATTTGAAAAGGTCACCTGACATACGAGGACTGACGCTTGGGACTTTCACAATCAACATTCCTGATGCTGCTGTATCGACATTGTCCCCACCGTGAAATCATTCGATGTAGGTAAGGAGTAGTGATCATTGCTTGAAACTGGTCATTATGTATTCTTCTTTCTTTTGGTTGTTACAGCTGTATAATCCGGATCTGCTATCGATTGTTTTGCCATTAACATTATGTTGTCAACTAACTGACATATTCTTGAGTCATGAAAGATGTCATCAACATACCCACATGGGTTGTGCCGTCATGCAATTATCTCCACGATTTTTATTGTTGTTCTTCTCATTCAATGACGACAAACAAAGTCTAGAAGAGTGTCAAGGAAGAACGACAAAAAGAAAAACATCGTGCTTATATTCGTATATTTTTTTGTAGCATCATTGTTGACACGCGTTTTATTCTTCGCAAAGAAAAAACCATATATCTGCATTTAGATGTTAATAATGTTTTCGTTGATTGCTATTGCACCGGCTTCTTATATCCTCTATCGGCTCTACGAACACTTCTTTCCAGCGCCTAGCATTGATCCACATGGCAAGTACGTGTTGATCAGTGGTTGCGATACAGGCTTCGGATATAGCATTGCCATCGAACTGGATAAGCAAGGCTTTCATGTGCTAGCTGGCGTGTATAACGCCGATAACAAACAACCACTCACCGATCAACTTTCCTCGAGAGCGACCGTTTTCTTGCTAGATATTACTTGTCAGCAAGATATCAACGCCGCTTTAGCTTTGGTGAAAAGCAAGACATCAAGTTTGCATGCCCTCGTGAACAATGCTGGCATCGCCGATGGTGGACTCATCGACTGGATCTCGCTCGCATCCATTCGTCAAGTATTGGAAGTCAACTTTTTCGGTCATGTAGCTATGACCAAGTCGTTCTTGCCATTGTTACTCGCCGAACCAAACTCACGCGTGGTGAACATGAGTTCAGCGGCAGGCTACCTGGCGGCGGCCGGGGCCTCAGCTTACAGTGCTTCAAAGTACGCACTTGAAGCATTTTCTGACTGTCTTCGTCGAGAAATGATCATGTGGTCTTTGCACGTGTCTATCATTGAGCCTGGGTTCATGCGTACGCCGATTATTGAGGGAGTTGCCGAAAAAATGCAAGCTGTTTGGACCAATCATACTGATGATGAAGCCAAAGCACGATGGGGTGAGGTCTACTTTTCAGACTGGCTTGTCGAAGGAACAAAAATGGCGACACAAACAGCTGATAATCCAATGAAAGTAGTTAGTGCAGTGTGTCATGCAGTGACGAGCTCGAAGCCACGCATTCGTTATCGACCCGGTTGGCAGTCAAGTCTCTTCTGCTTTCCTCTTTCAATGGCGCCTGCCTGGTTTACCGATTTTCTCATCGGCTTAGGGCAACGCAAGATGGCTCTGCCAAGTGGTGTTCTCAAGCGGATGGAGCATCATGCTCTATAGTATCAGGCATGATTGACCCGTTGGTTATCAGTAGATTTATGTGTATGTTTACTTTTCTCGAGTAATAGTCCATAGTGTCAATGATGCAAATAATAAATTCTTACAGATTCCCACCTAAAGCTGCATTTATTACATACTAAAATATTCTATTGCTTTCCAGCTCGCAACATTTTTGATGAAGTCTTCCAATACATCTCATTATTTTCAACGAGAGTGCGGATGTGGGTGAAGAGAAGAGATGCATACCCAACACCCCACATAATTCGAACCCTATCGGTCTCTACTCACACTCTTCTTGCATCTTACATTGATCCTTTAGACATAAACTAGCAATCGTACATCTGCTATTCAAAATTGAAATAAATATGCCATTTGTATCCGTATTTTTGATTGTGGGTGTGGGTATGGTTGCGGGTGTTTGTTCATTGTATCTTAATTAGCATCCACAACCACCGCCATACCCACCCACATTACATTGGCACACCTACACACACATACCCGCACCCACACATACCTACACCCTTCTAACGTATTACTTTATAGGAAGTTCGTCATCATGACTCATTTCGGTTTTTAAGGAATTATCTTGAAGTGCATGGCTCTAACCTTCTCATCTCGGCACTAGTACAATTCGTCGCACGACAATTCGTCGCGTACAATTCGTCGCGAACAATTCGTCGCACGAACAATTCGTCGCACGACAATTCGTCGCGAACAATTCGTCGCACATGTATTGCAGAGAATACATTGATTGAATTAAGTAATTTAGTTTAAAATGTTATACAATTAATCGCCTTAAAAAAACTTTTGTTTAGACTCATAAGAATCTTTTTTCATAATACAATGATTTTCTCAAAAATAAAATAGAGATATCAATTTAAAGCCTATTTTAAAATTTAATTAAAAAATTGAAGCTTGATTTTGGATAAAATTCTATGTACACAAAAAAAAGCTGAAAGTTAAAACAAAAATATAAAATCGAAAAGAAATTTTACAAATCTAAATTAAAAGAAACTAACGGTTGATTTTAAACAAAATTCTATGTTGACAAGTTAGAAATAAAGTTCTTTTTTTCTCATTAAAATTTATGCTTTCAATAAATAAGAAGCTTTAATTTTTTTATTTAGATTCGTAAATTTTTTTTTTCAATTTTATATTTTTGTTTTAATTTTCAGCTTCGTTTTAAATAAAATGTTAAATTTCATTTGAAAAAAATGAACTATATTTTTAATTTGTGTACATAGAATTTTATCCAAAATCAAACTTCAATTTTTTTAATTAAATTTTAAAATAGGCTTTAAATTGATATCTCTATTTTATTTTTGAGAAAATCATTGTATTATGAAAAAAGATTCTTAGGAGTCTAAACAAAAGTTTTTTTTAAGGCGATTAATTGTATAACATTTTAAACTGAATTACTTAATTCAATCAATGTATTATCTACAATGTATGTGCGACGAATTGATCGGTCACCAAAGTGCAATATATATATCCACAGTAATAAGCGAAGAACCCGAACTTCTTTTAAAGTACTCAGGTCTACATAATCTTGACTCAAAAATGACTTTTTATTTGAAGAATTTTCTTCGTAAAAACAATTGTAAAAAATAATATAAAATTCTTTATAGAAAATTGATTTTTGTTCAACTCTACAACGAACAACGAATCAATTACGTGGTGATAAATCATCATTAGAACGAAAATTACAAGATGCTCAAACAGAATTAAAAGCTATGAATGATAATAATAAACAAATTCGATCATCTTCTATTCATAAATCTTCATCTAATCATATTGATGACGATGATGATGATAATAATAATTCAAATATTGAACAAACTCAAAGCAATAATAAATATACATTTGATGATGATCATGATAATGATGATGATGATGAAGGATTAAGTGATACAGATAGTGATGTTATACAAATGAAACAAACATTAAACGAATATAAATATATTTCTTCTCTTTCAAAACCAAATATTTCTATGAATAATATTAATGAAAAAAAAAATTCTAAATCTTTGACTGTTAATTTAACTAATTTACCAAATAATGATGTTAGTTCAGTTATACGAAATATTTCATTTGAAAGAAGATCAAATCAATCATTAATTGATTCTGGACAATGGACAAATACAATGTTATCAACAATTGGTAATAATACATATCCATTAGGTATGCAAAATTTACATCATTATCAACCTTCAATATCAAAAGCTAATTATTGGCAATCACAACCAAGTCTTATTACAAGAGAATCTGTTATAAAAGCAGCACGTGATGTCCTTCCTCCTGGTGTTATTGATCGTTTATATTCAAAAAAACATTGATTTGTGCAAACATTTTTATAAAATTTTATTGTCTTTTTTTTTTGTATAGGTTGCTTTAGTTAGCCCGGTTTTATATGCTTATTGACGAAAGATAATGATTAGTTGTATTTTTTCTTGTGATCATTTATTTAGAACATTGAATAAAAAGAATCGTATTGATAAATATATAAACTTGAGAATAAACCATCTGTTAGAATATTTGTTCTTTGCTTTTTTATTTTTGTTCGACTTACAAGTAATCACAATAGTAACAATGATAAGTAAACATGTGGTCTTGTTCTACTTTTTCACATTAATTTCTCTGGTTACTTCAGTAGATCCTAGTTGTAAAGGTAAAATAAATACAAATGAAATCTTACGTGAACAACCACGCTTTGTTAATTCTGTACCTAATGGAAAACGGTTTATTGTTGGACAAGGTTATGATAAAATAAATATTGTTCATGTTTATGGTGGTACACCCTATGATATGGGATATGCATTTGGTCAATTAATGAGTGAAGATCTTAAACAACTTGTTCCAGAATATTTTTCTTATTTGGAAAATATGATAGAAGATTTGATTAAACAATTGCCACCAGTAAAAAAGAATAAGACTTTTTAATGTAATTATATAAAGAGTTTTTGTTTAAATAGCTTATTTCAAAATGGCTCGCTGAATTCGGTTTACGTGGTGCTCTTGATCTTAATTATGATATAACTCGTAAATATACACCACCTTGGTATGATGAAGAACTTCGAGGTCTTGCTGCTGGTAGTGGTGTATCATATGAAGATATTCGTCGACTTAATCTACTTCCAGAATTAATCAAAGCTGCATGCAGTGTATTAGGAGCATGGGGTGAATCTACAATATCATCAACATTACTTCATCTTCGTTCATTAGATTGGGATGAAAAAGCTCCAATAGCTAAATATGCCACAGTAACAATCTATCATCCAAATGCATCTTATGAAGGTTATGCTAATCATTTTCATGATTATTATAAACAAAAGTATACAACATCACATTCTTTTGCTAATTTTGGTTATACTGGTCTTATTGGATCAATTGGAGCTTACAATGAAGTTTCAATTGGTTTAGGACAAAAAGTTTGGATTACAACAGAATAAGATATAACTTCACGTTTTGGTAATCCATGGACATATGTTCTTCGAGATGTAATTCAATTTTCAAATTCAATTGATACTGCTTTAACAATGCTTATTAATACAAAACGAACTTGTTCAGTTCATCTTGGTCTTGGAGAATTTCATCGAAATAGTTCAACTAATAATATTGAATTTGTTGGTATTGAATATAGTGCAAAAGAATTTAATGTTTATTCATGGAAAGATATGTATAATACACCAAATCATCCAATATTAGAAGATGTTGTTTATTGGGATCCACATCCACAACCATCGAATCATCCATGTTTTTCTAGTTTATTAATTGATCATTATGGTCATCTTGATGCAATAAGTATTATTCGAAATATAACTAGTTTATTAGAAACAGGCAATACATTAAATTTAATTATTGATTATGGTGAAAATGCAGCTTATCTTGCATATAGTGCACCTGATGATCCACAAGGACCAATTGAAGCTTTTAATCGAGTTCATATTCGAATTGATATGATGAAATTATTTGCTGAACCTCCACCGAAATTTGAAGATTTAAAATAAAATTTTTATGAAATTTTTTTAAAGTTTGTTTTTTTTTGCTTTGAATTTGACAAAGAAAATAATCAAACGAAGGAAAACGATCGATACGATGATAATCAACACTTTTTATCTACTTAACTCATGAACGACCAGACTAGCTTTCATATAGTTTAATAGCGCTTCAAAATAATATAAAAACATCGACCATACAAAGAAATGCAAGATTTTGAGGTTTTTCTTTCATAATGAAAATCGCGCTGTAAATGAATAATAATATAATATTCTAAATTAGCATACTAAAATAAATGACTATCTCAATCGGTCTTTGCACAGCGCAGACAAGTGATATAGAACGAATTCGACTAGGGATCACTTTCGAGTATTCTGTTCTGTAGTTTGATATAGAAGAAATCAAGTTTCTCAATATAATCGATTTCATTAGTTATCGAGCTCTCCTTTATTAGAAAAAAACAAGGTAGATTTATTTTATTGTCTATTTCATATAGATACTGTTAATAGACAACAATTAACAATGTATTTCAATGAAAAATGTGTTCTAGAAAATAAAATTTCATACATATTCTGAGAATAATTTACTAAATATTGTTCGTAATTCTGTTCAATTTGATTATTTTTGTGATGACAATAATAAATAGAATGATTACGGAAGATTTTGTTGTTCTTGTTCTACATTAATGATTGTTGAAATAATAATTATGACGTTTAATAGATGAATGAGCAGGTTTTCTACAAGCTTGATATAATTCTTGAAGTGACCGGACAATTCGTCGCAATTAGAGGTGTAAGCCAAAGGGTCAAACGGCGGCAGCGCCTTCTAGACTCTGTTTTTCTACACCAGCGGCGGCGGCTTCAATTGTAAAAAAAATTTTTCCATAGCGGCGGCGGCTTTGACAACCAAAAAAAACCGTCTTTGCTCCTAAAAATGTCAGTGGCGGCGGCGCATCATACTATTATCAACAATTTTCGTTCGTGTCGGCAGTGCAACGGCTGAACTAACTTTTTCACAGCGGCGGCGGCGGCGCAGTTGGATGGCTTACGCCTTTAGTCGTAATAACATAATCCAATCATAATTTATCTTTTTTTCAATAATGAAAATCAACTTATTTGATAAAGTTTGCAACATGTAATATAATGACTATAAAAGTTATTGGAAATATTACTAAAGGCTAAACTTAGATTTTGTTTTATCTCGAAATGTTACCAGTATCAAAAGTTCTAGAAAGTTAAATGATTGAGCTCATTTGCTACTTCATAATTGATGTCAACAGTATGTAAAAATCTTCGATTACGAGGTATCGTCAAAACTATTTCTAGTATTGTATGAATCATTGACTGAATCCGATTAGTGTAGTTTTAAATATATAATATAACAGACGGTGGTTCATAAACTAACAGAATTTGCACTTCAAATATGAAAATTTTAAAACAGAAATTCATTAAAATTTTTCTTTTTGGTGATAAGGCCAAAACTGTTGTTGAGGACATGCTAAATTTCACTAGTACTTCCAAAGTATTTCCTCATTGTCAGAAGTCTTGAGCTACAGGAAGAATTATGAGAAAAACGCAGTGTCGTTTCCACTAGTATAAGAAAAAATTTCCTACTTGTATAGCTCGCATTAACTAACTTATTATCTGAACAAGAAGATTATCGTATCATTCGAGATAAAAAAATCTAAGTTTAATCTTTAGTAATATTTCCAATAACTTTTATAGTTATTAGATTACATGTTGCAAACTTGATCGAATAAGTTCCTTCAATATTGAAAAAAAGAAATTATGATTGGATTATGTTATTGCAACGAATTGTCCGTGACGAATTGTTCTGCGATAAATTGTCCTAGCACCAATTATTGAAAAAGATCATCTAGAAAATTCTTCAGTAGACATTGTCTATATTCTTTATATTGAACATTGAATATCAATTTTTGTTTGTTTTGCTTGATCTCTAAAAATTAATTGTATTTTTCGACGTTTATTTTGAAACCAGACACGTATTTGATCATATTATACATCAATACACTTAGAACTAACGTTAGTTCTTTTTGTAAACTATTCGGATATTTATTTTCTTTAAATATTTCATTAAGCATAATAAGTTGATGACGAGTGTAATATAAGTACGTTTTCTCTGTTGATATCATCGATGATGATAATCATTGAAGGGATTCATGTGATGGGAATGATAAAGGATAGACAGATGTTTAAAACGAATATGAGATTGGTATTGATCATTGTCGATAAAATTTTTCAATTGGTTGAAAAACATATGAGGGTGAATGGTTATTTGACATTGATGGACAATATTTAGAAGATGAAAATGATTTCCTATTTGAGTTATACGAAGAATTATATGAAGATGGAATGTTGAAATAATTGGTATCAAGTTGCATTGATGGAAAATTCATAATGATTATTGATTTTTGAATGCGAGTGTATTTATAAAATCTATCTATTTTCGTTTTCGAGAAAAGAAGTTGCATCAATTTGTGGTGTTATTGCTCAGTGTGCAGAAAACTGTTTTTGTGTTAAGCAATCTATCGTGAATATTACTTTTATGTGAATTCTGAATCTTGAAGAATTTTTGTTCTTCTCTACTGGAGTTTTAGCGTTTTGTTGTGTTTTATTTGCTTATTGATTTCCAAAAAACACTCAACCTTCTGTCCTAAAACTCGATCAGGTTTACAAAAAAAAATCTTCCAATCAGCCTGGTGAGTCATCAATCTCTGGCCCAAACTTGACGGTCTTGGAATATCCTCGTAAAAACTTCGAACAATGAAAGAATCGATTAAGCAGTTGATAACACTCAACAAGTACCCTGTCATCGGGTCGGGTATCCAAGCTGGACATGACAATGAATGATATCTCGATGTTTTAAAATATTTTTCTCAAACTGTTAATTTATATAAAAGCATTGGAGTAAAAAACTGAACAATCTATTTTATTTGAGAACAGGTCAGAGAAGTGGAAAGCAATATTATTTTACTAAAAGAACTCATCTACAGATAATGATGTTCCATATGACGAAGTAAGTGAATACATAAAAAAAGGAAAATGAATTATTAAAAGGGTGAACACGTATTATTATGATGAAAACAAAAACGCATTCATGTTTCGCATTCCTTTTCAGCGTCATTAGCAACAAACAAACGTATACTTAGCGAAATTGATCGTTTCTTAGAAATAGGAAGACATCGCGTAAATCGTGAATGACTTTCTTTGAGATAAGCTCTTGTTTTGTTGTTGTTGTTTAAATGTTGATAAGCTTCGGTTCAGGTTCGATTACAAAAAGTCGTAATCGTTCAGGACATTATACTTAAATTGGAAATAAAGCTAGATATGAATTCGTGATATCATGTTTCTTTTTACATAATATTATAATCGATTACGTTGCGATTTGCTTTTTTTTCAAATATCAAAAAGATCAATTGTTTTTTTGTACTTCAAAAAAAATGAAACTTAGATGTTCTTCTATGTCAATGTACGACCTCTATCATTGAGTATTTTATTCAAAACACACTGATGCACTGTGACGTTGACAATAGCCATTGACGTTTCCTATGTTATTGCAACGTTGCATTGGTTTTTGTTTGGTATTTATTGGAAGACAAGTACTCTTATGTCTATATAGAATAGAACGAACGATCGACAGTTGTCTTTTCTTGTTTTATTTCTGACAATCATTCGAATTTAAAAGAAATTTTATTAAAATGGGTATCAAATTTCTTGAATTTGTTAAACCATTCTGTCAACTTATACCAGAAATTCAGAAACCTGATCGTAAAATTCAATTTCGTGAAAAAGTTTTATGGACAGCTATAACATTATTTATATTTTTGGTTTGTTGTCAAATACCATTATTTGGTATAATGTCATCAGATTCAGCTGATCCATTCTATTGGTGAGTATCTTAAAACAAAAAGGTCAGATTTTTTTTTATTAATTTTCATTTATATAGGATTCGAGTTATTCTTGCATCAAATCGTGGTACATTGATGGAATTAGGTATTTCACCAATTGTTACATCTGGTCTTATTATGCAATTATTAGCCGGTGCAAAAATTATTGAAGTTGGTGATACACCAAAAGATCGTGCTTTATTTAATGGAGCACAAAAGCTTTTTGGAATGGTTATTACCATTGGACAAGCTATTGTTTATGTTATGACTGGCATGTAAGTTTACTATGGATTAAGGAAAACTCTATCCTTTTCACACGTCAGAAATCAAATTTTTTCAATCTTTGATATAGCTTCAAAGTGTCATATAAATGAGAACTCTTTGTTGTTAGTTATTACTTTCTTAAATCTTGAAATGTTGAGCACAGAAACTTATTCTTTGTATGAAAAATTCTCATGATTATTTCTCATTTCAAAGGTGCTGAGAAGATGAATCATGAACCTGTCACATAGTTAGTTTTTGATTGCTTTAGGTGGAGAAAATAAAGACCTGATATATATATGTAGGAAAGTTTGTTTTTCTCAAACTTGCATTTTGAAGAAAAAAAAAACACGAAGTTTTCTTCTACACAGTATTTTCGATGAGGCTCAAAGTTTTATTATGAGTACTTGGTTAAATAGAATGCATGTTTTTATTTTCTTCAAAATTCGATAGTCTTTAAAAACCCATGTTCTCTCAACGGCGCTTCCGGTGTAGGAAATTGCAAAAGTGTTCCGTCCTCGATGGGACTAAAACTACTTTCTACCGGAACAAAAGAAGGTGGTCTCGAAGATCCCTTTTCCAATCTTTTGCTTCTTCTGAACTCTACAAACGATATTTTTGAAATAAATTAGGTATAAATGGTCTTCGTGATACTCAAATTTGTCTGCTTTGAAAGTTTTATAATTCTTCGTCTAATCATCATTCTCAAGAAACCTTGGAAGAAGTTTTCCTCAAATAAATAAATATAATAATATCGTTTTTTTTAAAATAGGTATGGTATTCCATCGGAAATCGGTGCTGGAGTTTGTCTTTTAATAATAATACAATTATTTGTTGCTGGTC